GATAATTTAAATATATATTTATTTTATTAAAATATAATTTTTTAAAAAAATATTTTTTTTAATAAAAATATATATGTATGTGTAAAATGATAATGGGAGCAAGTGCCTTCATTATCTTCCATGTACATATGTCACATAGTACAATTGATGGAAAATGGCCTTTGAAAAATGTCCTTTTCATGCCAGAGTAAATGTAATCGTAATTTTGTTTGAGAGCTTACGAAGGAAAAATGTTAAATTATTTTGCATAATAATTAAAAAGGAAATTTAATAATTTGCCTTGTGATTCAAATGTACTTTGTTTACTAGAAAGCGTTGACAATGGCTCTTTGAAACAGAAATTTCGTGTTAATATAATTTTTGCATTGTGGGACATGTGATTTTCCTGAAAATGATAGGTATGCAATTTAGAACGCAAAATGTGACGTATTCGATAGTTGACAACAAATACAAATGCTGAATATTATTCACGTATTCTATGGTACTAATACTATTTTATTTGTCTAACACCTCGTTTCTTTTTTATAAAATATAATATAAATATTTTATAAGTAATTTTGATGTTTTTATTTTATTAAGATGGACAATTTGATATTTATTTTATTATGTAATATATTTTAAAATATAGTATATGATATTTTGTTAAAGAATAATATAATATTTTATTAAAAGAGAAGTAATTTGTAACCGGTTAGTATGTATACCGGATAGGTATAAGAGAAAGATGGAAGACTTCTCGACATAATTGTATAAACATGAAACAAGCTGAGGAGTCATCGGCTCTTTACAATGGCTCACAGAACCTAACATATTAAAATTAATGGATCTCATTGTGGGTCTGTTTATGGGCCTAAGCCCATTAAGTTTAGTATAAATAAAGATGATTAGTGACGAAAAAGATATGTTTTAATAATTATCAAAATTGATTAGCATTGATCTCTCTGACTTCGAGGAATGACTTGAGCGTTGTAATGTTTTTTGCAGGTACCCCTCCTTTCGCTAGGACAAGCATATGGAGGACGAAGACTCCGAAAACGCAAAACAATTACTGACATACCCTCGTGCAAGTACAATATGTTTTAATTAAAGGATTAAAGGGAAGTTAGCATTTTTAAAAGAGGAGTTTTCATTTTTTAATCAAACTCGTTTACATTTCTATTTTTACGTACGTGCTTTAGAGTTTGAATAATAGAAGTAGGAAGAAAATCACCCTAAAGTTTTGCACCAAATCATCTAGAGCTTATCTATGTAAAGGGGGAGTGAGAAACCTTGCTCTGGGCATGAGTTTGTATGGTGGATAGTGAAATTGACCTCTAATCCAATGTGTGTTGTATGCCTATGTATAAGGGGGTTTCTCCTAATACTTCTATTTTGCTCCTTTTTCTTCTTATTCATAATTAATTGCATGAATTATATCTGAATGTATGATTAATTTTATGTTTTAGATGGTAATTATGTGCTCTAAGGTCCCTGTGAGTTTCCATGGAAAACCCTAAGGGAACTTGATGTGATTTTCAGTAAAGATATTGGTTCTATGTGTAAATTAGGTGATATTAATTGTTAATTACTTGCTATGGAATATGTTTACCGATTGAATTGGATGTTTTGATGAATTGATGTGTGATTCATAAATTCTATATTTTCTTGGGGTCTCTCACGTTGGGTGTGGGATGACCCTTATCGGGCGTGAAAGTTTCAGGGATTCCCTATGACGCTTCCATTGGGCGTGAGTTGACTCTCGCTAGGGTTAGACACTTTAGAGAGCTCACAGTGGTGTTCTCGCTAGGCATGGAGTCGGTCACACTAAGTGCAATTCAGATAAAGACCAATGTGATCCTTTGGTGGTATCGCATTAAGTGTGGGGCGTGTGATGTTGGGCACCATCCTACCTGCGAATTCTCTACTTTTCTTTTGTTAAATTCCATTGCCATAATTATGTGTTGTGATGTTAATGTAGATATGACTTGGTATACATATGAATGTATGAATATGATTGATGAGTAATATGATATGAGGAATATGTGTATGTAAAATTATGGAATCATGTGAATGTGATGCATAAAGTTTGTTTAACATGCACATCATATGCATAAAATATTTTTTTTTGTAAGGGTACGATATGAAATACATTGTTAGGGAAGGTCCCTTGTGTAAAATCTTGGAAACCAACCTGGAATAACTCAGTTTGGAAGTCCTACTCTTGCCCTCATGAGCATGAGATGTATCTTACATGATTTAGCTATCCTGACCAGATCCTGATAGTATGTCCTTTTAGTGAGAGTACGTAAAGGGTGTGACTCGCATGTACTCCTAGACTACTTTAGTGTGTTGCTAGCAACAATGCAAAAATGTGATATTTTTACTAATGTCACATGAATGATAAAATGTAGTTCGTGTTCATTGCATATGCATTATAATGTTACTTGTTGTTGTTTGTTATGTTATGAATAAATTAAGTATGATGATAATGTGTAACTGTATATGTTATATCTTATTGTATGCATTGTTTATTTTTGGCTAGCCGAGTTGCATTCCTGTACCGTGAGTCAAAGTGAGATATTTTTCAGTCCTTTTTCTTTTGTGTTGTTTCCTTGTGATCTCTCTAGGTGATCATCGACATGACGCTATGTTGGTGGTGAAGCCTAGACCTCAATGTTGGATTTTGCTTTAATAGGACATGTGACACTGATAATCTATCAAGACTAGTTATAATTTGATTCATATTATTTAATTTGAGTAGTTTAATTTTAATTCCTTTATAATTACATTAGTTCTATTAAGTTTAGTTTGTGTTAATAATATGACTCTTTTTATTTTTATGGATTTTGAGTTATTTATAAGAAATATTTCAATTTTATATTATAATATGTGTTATGACATGTAAGGTAGAGAGTGTTACAATTTGTGTAGTTTCTAGAAGGAAAAACATTAATCATAAAATTAGTTTTGTGATATCATCATTAACTTTCATTTTTTTTATTAGTTTTTCTTGTTTTGTTAAACAAAATCTAAAATGATATTAATTATGAAAAAGAAAGAGAATATTTTAAATAAAAGAAAATACTAACCGGTGTCTTTAGTACATTGATTTAGAAATAAAATAATACAACATTTTAATTACAAAATTAATAAATAAAAACTTTCTATATATTAATTCTTTAACCAATGCCCCAAGCTACTCACTTAAAAAACCCGATACAAAAAATTGTTGTACAAGTAACTAAGTTGAATTAATTGTCGATTATGTTAGTACGTAGTAGTAAGTTGCATATTAATGAAGATTATAATAGTATTTAATTAATCAATTATGATCTGTGATGTATACGGCTTGCCTAACACAATGTTGATTTGGAAGCAAATTAAACCATTTATTAATAATGCGATTTCAAACAACTTTAAATGATACGACTAAGCTGTCTCTATGAGAAGGAGTTTGTTGTGTTGTGTTTGATGAAACTGAACGACAAAAGCTCACTGAAGAGTTAATGGCTTCTATGCATCTTGGGTCTTTCCCTGTAACCTTTTCCGTTCCTGCGGGTAAGCCATGAAACTTGGTCCATTTTTTGTGTAATATTTCTGAAAAATTAAGATGTTTGTTCATGTTTAAGAGAAATATGTTGGGACTAACATGTAGACATTATTGGCAGTTGCAAGTCATGGGAGGGCTAAAAAATGTGCCAAAAGTTACCATGCAAGTATGTCTATTTTTCTTTTCTTTTTAAATTCTTTTTTCGTGTCTATGATATATATATATATCCATCCCTTAATTTGGACAAAAATTATTGCAATGCTTCATTATGTTGCTATTGTTAAAGGGTACCTTTTATCAACTCTTCACTTTTAAATCTTAAGTAGAAGGGCTCTTGCTCTATCAGTTTTTCTATTTGGAGTTGACAGCCAATGAGTCAAGAAAGAATTCTCCTTTACACTTATGTAATAAGTGATTTATAAATGTAGATTTTGATGAGAAATCGTCTGAATTAATTATTTCAGTTTTTAATTCATTATTCGATCATGTTATTGGTTTTAAAAATTTAAATTCGATTTGATCCAATCTAATTTAAAGCAATTTTAATTGGAATGTTTTCAAGTTTTTTTAGTGTTAGTTCTCTTTAAAAATGTTAAATAAATTGTAATATGTATGATAATCATTATAAAGATAATTAAAAAAATCATGTATATATTATATGATTTTCAATTTACTTGATTTTTGAATGAAACCGTTTATGAACACCCTTCTCGCGGGCATAACTTTGAATATGTTGGACCAATTTGTTCAGTCTTTCTTTTATATTTTTCTAACCCGTTTTGGCCTGTTTGAGATATTATACCAAGAAACATCAAAGTGAGTCAATTTGTGAATCCATTCATTTATCTATAACTATAATAAAGATATCTACATCTTTCATGTACACAATTTATCTATTTTAATTACCCCTTAACTACTCTATAAATTATTAATTTTGTTCTTTTATGTAAATTTCACAATACATTCTACTCGTATTTTTTTAGTCAACCACTCACAAAAAATGTAACTACTCAACTACAAAATAAAGTAACTTTTTTACGTACGCATCAGATTATTTCACGGATTTATTTGTACACATTTTTTTTAATTATTTCTATAGATAAATATGTAGAGCCACCCAGTGGTATTGCCTCTTCCCTTCTGTTTTGAAAGATGATAAATATTTCTTTTTTTATTTATTTATTTTACCATTGTGGAGGTAGTTTAACACATTAAAACTACTGTTTATCGTTTTATTTATTTTGGTTTCATGAATAGTTGATTATGATCTAATTAATGATAATCTACTCTTAAATGACAGTGATGTAATATTTTATGATTTTTTTTCATTATATTAAGAATATTTTTCATGTTTTACGTATGTATTTACATTTTAAAATTTTTTATCTTTAATAATTTTATAATTTGATAGGTCAACCTATCAACTAAATAATTTTTTTTTGCTAGATCAACCTGGAACCTATAAGGGTTGACTTCTCTATATGTGATATCATCAAACATTAAAATAAAGATTCTACTTAATAGTATCTTTTTCAATATTAATGAATATTTCAGAATTAAATTCAAAACTACATGTAAAAAAAATTGTGTGTTGTAGTCAGACAAACGCTTGCTAGTTCTTGGGTAGAATATAACTACTATTTCATATTGTATACTAAAAATCATTGGAAATTTTGACTATATGTAAATGTATTGATATATGAATTCACAATTAAAAGTATTTTTTTATAAAAGGAAATGTAAAATTGATTTGTTGAAGATTCCTTTACGATTCGTACAACTAATTAAGACCTAGAAAGAGAGTACAGAAAGAGAAAATTAATAAATAAATACATGAGGAATAATTGTGTTTGACCTATAATTTTTAGTGAATCATTATACTTATTTGAAGAAACTAAATAAAATAATTGTTGATATTCAATTTATCTCTTTTCATTTTATCTAAAAATTTTAAAATTAAAAAGTATGAAGTTTCTCTTTTTCTGCTTATATATATGATAAAATTGATATGGTACAAATTGTTGGCGTGCTTCGAATGTGCCCCGCCACAAAAATAAAAAGGATAATAATAATTGTTGTTAATTGTTATTGGCCAAAGTATTTATTTCGTTTTATAAAATTCGGAAGAGAACAGATCAAGATATCTTCGTAGAGTAACAAATATTAGTGATTTTTGTGTGTGCTCTTTCCAAGAGTGTGAACAATAGAAATCATTTATATACTATCAAATATTCTTACTAGATTTTGCTACATATTTTTTTTAATAAACTGTTAATTTTCTCAACAAGAAATAACTCTCTTTTTAATTTTTTTTTTTTTTATAGTTTCTAAATGGTTCTTAAAATTATGAAACCATCATTGTAATTCCTAAGATGTTTATTTTGAAAAAAAAAATAGAGATCAAGTTGAAGAGTTTTTCTTTTAATATTAATGAATTATTTAACACGATTTCTAATAGTTTTTGGAATATAATGCTTAAATTATTTTATTGTATTTTTGTCTTACTTTAAAACCCATTTAGAAAATAGAATGATACTTCGAGAATAGAATTTGTGGTTTTACTCTTTTTATTTGTCCTAATTAAAAGATATATCAAAATCTCTTTTTTAAATGCTACTAACATTCCACATTTGATACTATAGGTTGTCACGTACCAAAAGCATCATGGTATAAAAGTGAGAAAATCCAAAATGAATATCCCATCGTGAGACATGAGAAGCAACATAATTTGAAGCATGATTATAGATGCATTGGGGCAGCATCCACAAGTAAAGAATTTTCTAGAAGTTATGTTGTGAATGCAGCACCTGGAGAATCATTAGAATCTGAACCTAGTCGAAAAAGCTTATGGACCACTACCATAGATTTCTTGTATGCATTTTACAAGTTTAGTAGGCCATACGCAATGGTTGCCACAGTTAAGTCAAACCTTTTTCTCTTGAATCAATCTTTTAAATAATATTAATTAATCCAAATATTCTTTGGTGTATATGAACCCCTGTCAAAAAAAATGTGTAATATTTTAGAAAGATTTACTTAATTTGTTTGTGTTTGTACAGGCTGTGAACATAGCTTCCGTGTCTCTCCTTGCAATAGATAATTTATCAGATATTTCTCCAACATTTTTCATTGGTTTGTTGAAGGTGGCGACTCAAAATTGTTGGTGGTTTAAAAATTTCCGATGGAGGCTATTTAGTATTTGCCTCCTTCACCTAATTAACTTTATTAATATTTGTGAATTATTTTATTTCAGGCCATGTCAGTTATCTATCCTATAACTCTTTATGGGATGGGCATAAATCATATAGCTGACTATGAAATAGACAAGGTATGAAACTTATAGATTGACTTAAATAATATACTGAGTAATGCGTAGTTATTTTTTGTCTTTTTGAACATAGGTATTGAACTAGACAAAATTTGAGTTTTGAGAATTAAATTTGGTGTACTTTTCGATTGAAAATAGTTTATACTTAGAATTGAGCTGATGCAACTCATTTTGGCATAATATTTTAAAAACCTACAATTTCTTTTATAAAGTTGGATACAAATTTGAAGATATTTTTATTCAGATTAATACGTGATGACAACCCATGAGAATATCATTATATGGGAAAAAGATGAAGTTATCATTGGAGAAGCAGAGTTACTTAACTGAATAACTCTTTATTATATCAAATATTAATAAATCGGCTATTAAATTAAATACTTTTATTTTTAAATAGATGATGTTTTCAAATTGTAATGAATTTTTGCTAATATAGTATTAAATAAATTCAATTTAATGTATATTATTTTTTCCCCAAATATAAATGTGTCAATTATAACATTTCCTAATTCAATTGGTATATTTTAAGTATTATGAATTGTCGATTAGTACAATCGTTGATTTTTTTTAAAAAAAAAATTTTTTTAACAAGTGTTAATGCATACCCATTAATTAAAGGAAAACATAAGAAAGAGTTTTTTTTTTTTGAGGTGAACATAAGAAAGAGTTGAAATTATATTTTAAATAATTTTTACAATTTTTACGAAAGACTTAACTTTCTGTGTTAAGTCAGACAATGTAAAACAATTAAACAAAGTATAACGAATTTGTGCCAACAGACAATGTACTTTTATCAAAAGCATTTCAAACAGAATGATATTTAGCGAGCATATTGATTTACAAAAACAAGTTAAAAAATAGATTAGATTTTTTTAACAACTTGACAAGTTATCATATGACATTCTTTATCACACATACGAATAAATTATATAAAATAAAAAAAATGATAAAAAGCTTTTGATAACTTCAATACTGAAAAACGGTTTATAAAACCTCTTGGATAGAAGTAGTGACATCTATAAAACATAGATCAAAATTTTAAAAGAAAATTAAACAAGTAATTACAATGGAAAATTAACATCAAAACCTACTCATGATGAATTAAGAAAACAATCCTAAAGTTAAATCCTACTGATTTCAATTTCATGATTTTCACGTTTATTTAGTAATTCAACAAGATCCTTCAAAGTTAAATCCTAAAGTGATTAATCTAAAACATGATTCTTTTATGTTTTGAAATTAACACTTTGTATTAAAAACAATGACTTGAACAAGGTGACTAAACAAATCAAGTCTATTCCTAAAGCAAGAGATGTTTAGGTGCAAGTTTCAGTTCGGGTTTTCTAAAACGTTTTTCAACCGGATTCAAAAACCAAAAATCATACAACGGGTGATCAAGCCGATATAAGCATTAAGAGAAGAATCAAACACAAGTAATGAAAATGAAATGCATATATATATTTAAGAAGAAGAAGAGTTAGTAGTTAGATCCAGACCAATCCTCAAAGATTTAGCCCCTCATGGCCATTTACAAGATTAAAGGAGTGGAAGAAGAAATTACAAAGGAAGAGATGAAGAAAAGGAGTTGATCCTCGTTCCCAAGTGATGCAGCCACCAAATCTTCGTTCCCACTCTGTTCTTCCTTCCTTCTATGCTCCCAACTCTTGTTTTTCTCTCTATTTTCGTCCTTCTTTCAGTTCTTCTATTCTCCTTTTATATTAGCTTCAAAACAGGGGGCAAAAAGTGATTTTTTCTCCCACAGCTGTAGTTGTAAATCCACAACTATGGCTGTGGAGAATTCTTCAAGGTGAAGTAACCTCGAACGCTGCAGCTGCAGATCCATAGCCATAGCTGTGGCAAATCCTTCATGGTGAAGTAAGTCCTAGCGTTGCAATGGTGAAACCACAGCTATGACTGTGAACTTTTGCTGGATCCTGGGTGCTCCATGGCTTTAGCTGTGAGTCCACAACTTTAGCTTCAAGTCTCTGAACCCTTAATTTTGCATTCTAGATTTCCATAGCTATAGCTGCAGAACCACAATTATAACTACAACTTTCTGACCTTCTAATTCCTCCCCATATTTTCACAGCTAGAGCTCCAGATCCACAGCTATGGCTGTGGAACTCTGTCTTCTCAAATTTTCTGCACAAATGGAGGAAAATTATTAAGATTTTGCTACTACTCTTCTACCTATTTAGTATAACTTGATTCTTCCAATTCAGGGGGTAAAATATTCTAAATATATATCTACAATTACCAAAAAGAGTACAAAAAATTGAGTGTAAATGAGGAATAAAAGACACTTAACACCTACCAAAGTTCGATACACCACTAATAAATAAGGCCTAGCCACATCTCCAACATTATCCTCGAAATGATCCTCACTTGCAATACATAAATAGAACATAAAATAAACAAAACAGGGGTGAGAAATATCTCACTTGAGTTAACTGTGTAAATCTACTTAGATTTACTCTACTCAATAACTAATGTTCTATACCAAATTTTAGCGATTTAACCGTTGAATTAAAATTTTTAATGTATAAATCAAGTTTACAAATTTTTTAAAACTTTAAAAATTATTTAATATGTCGTTTCATTAATTCAAAACATCTAAAATGTTTTTATGATTATATATCCATCGATTTGAATTGATGAAATATAGTAGGTTAAAATACTAATTTGGTCCCTTATAATATTTTTTTTTTGTTTTAATTTAGTTCCACTTTAATTTTTGGTTTCAATTTAGTCTCTAATAATTTAAATTACTGCAATGTCAGACTTCTGTCCAAATTATTTAAACAGAGTTAACTGTTGGCCATGTGGATGCCATGTAGATGCATAAGTGGATGCCAAATTTCTTTAATGCATCTGGAACCAGAACGACCCATTCTGAAACCAGAACGACCCGTTCTGCTTGTACTATTGGTGTGTTAATTTTACACCTGGAAAGGGCCGTTCCAGATGCATTATTTAACACACAACAAGTGCAAGCAGAACAGACCATTCTGAAACCCGAACGGGTCGCTCTGAAACCCGAACAGACCGTTCTAGTTTTAGAACGGGCCGTTCAAGATTTAGAACGGACTGTTACAAAACGCAAAAAACATACGTACGTTCAAAAAAAATGCAACAATGTGGTTCATGTGACACCCTCTACCCCAACATTAATACACAATAAATGTTTGAGGGGTATAATGGTCTATTAAAAAGTGAAGACCAAAAGTAGTTACACATCCAAGTATTCTCTTTATATATTAGTATAGAAGTATAGATTATGGTGGTGTAGGTTAATTATAAGATTGGGACCAATTTCTTCAATATCGATCACTTTTGAGTGTGGAAATGTTTCACGGTGGACGTAACTAACTTCAAAATTTTCTTTTCTGTCTCACTTACACCAAACAACATCCATTTTTATCATCATTTCTATTTCTATTGTTTCCATCCAAATTTTTTGTTATTTCTTACTTACAACCGTATCTTGTGATTGAATCGTTTCCATACTTGGACGAGAGCCTTATCATAAAGACCATTCCTTCTCTGTGACAGCCAATGTTTGAATAATCAAAGTCAGAACTCAGTTTTGTAAAGCTAGTGTGGATAAATGGCTTCTATGCCTCTCGGGTCTTTAGCTTCTTCCTTTACCGCTGGTAAGACATGCAAATTGGTACATTTGGTGTAATCTTTCTTAAAATTTAAGGTATTTGTCCTTTTTTTCTGAAAAAATTTGATGTGACATTACTAGAATGTTTGCCTAATTATTTCTAATATTTTTGATAAAATATGGAAGAGGAATTAATCGAGAAAACTAAAACATTTTGTCCAAGTATTGCAAACAAGAAATTTCTTTGTAGAATAGCAATTTGTGATTTTGAGTGTCGCTTTCAAGAGCTTGAACAAAAGAAGTACTCATCAAATGGAGAATTTTTTTTTCTCATTTTCTTATTTTACTGCTACTAACATTCCACAATTGATATTCTAGGTTCTCACCTAACAAAAGCTTCTTGGAATAAAACTAAGAAAATCCGAAATGAATATCCTATAGTTAGGTATCAGCAGCAACATAATTTGAAGCATCATTATAAATGCATTGAGTTAGGATCCACATATAAAGAACGTGCCAGAAGTAATGCTGTGAATGCAATTGTTGGAGAATCATTTGAGTCTAAACCTCAAGATTATAGTCCAAAAAGCATTTGGGGTTCTGTCAAAGACAATTTGGATGCTTTCTACAGGTTTACCAGGCCACACACAATCATTGGCACAGTTAAGTCAAATATTTTTCCAATTCTTTTAATAGTTAATCAAATTCTCTTATGTATAAAACACCTTGTTTCATAAACAAATGAAATATTCTGAATTGTTTAGCAAGGCTTACTTTTTATGTGTTTGCACAGGCGTTAAGCATAATTTCTGTGTCTCTCCTTGCGGTGCAGAAATTATCAGATATTTCTCCGACATTTTTTATTGGCTTGATCCAGGTAGTCACTCAAATATGTTGGTTGCTTAAAAATGGATAATGCATTCTATTAGTCTACTTTACATAACCTTATTAATTATTAATTGTGATGAGTTCTTCAATTTCAGGCCATCACAGCTACCATTTTTATGAACATTTATGTTGTAGGGTTGAATCAATTAACTGATGTTGAGATTGACAAGGTACGAAACTTATTACCAAACGTAAAAAATATGCTAATTAATTCTTTTTTTTTTGTCATTTTGCACTTCTGGTTATAGGAAATAACAGTGTTGATTTTGCATAATTTATTATGATTTACATCATAATTGATTATCCTTTACTTTTAATTAAGCTTCCTTCGAGTTCCGTTTATTGATTCTTTTAAGGTAAAGAGTTAAAACTCACTCTCTCTTCGTCACACTTTCGTACACATTTATTGGGCAAAAAAAAATAAATAATAGATGATCGCACTTCTCACCCAATTCATACGAAAATAGTTAATTAAAGAAATATATTTAGTTGATTTATTATTAAA